CAAGTTCTGGCAGTAAAACGTATTAAATGTGTTTAAAAAACAAAAATATGCGAAATATTCATAATTCATACTTTTTATACAAATTTCTTATACATAAGTACCAAACTAAACATTTATTTATATGCAGGAATAATCTGGCACCTTTTTTTTTTGAACAGGCTTTGATAGAAAACGAGTATATCTGCACTCCTTCTCATAAAATTTTTTGTTGGAAATTGATCAAACAGAATCATCCCTGAAATGATTTTCCAGCTTATGCGAATCACTCTGTAGATGGTACTTACATATGCACTTGCGGATATAAATACATAAGTGTTTTTTCCTAAAAATTTGGTGTAAACATATGGAAATAAATATAAAATTATTTTTGTATCTTACGAAAGAAAAAATTTGGTAACTCTTTTTATTATATTACTCTTTCAAAAAACAGATATATACATACACCCGTATATTCAATGTAAACACACAAAATTAAAAATTAATTAATGCAGTACCATAGTTATCTGGCGTATTTTTCATAATCACTTCTTTGTATATACATAGTGACAAGAGTAAATTCAAATACTTTGATCATTGACTAAGCATTCAGTTATGAAACAAGATTGCGATAAAAAAAAGCGTCTAATCTACAATAAACTGCCAATGGATACGTTTCTCCTAAGAAGCAGTAAAAAAGTTTTCTGGTAGTTTTTTCATAATTCCGGGACGATTATTAAAAATATTTAAAAACTTCTTCCGTTACTTGAATGTTCATACTACGTTTCGTCGTTATTTCACGTATAACAAATTTGTAGTTTTGTAGTTATGAAATATGTATATGCCTTCTTTCTTGAATTCAAAGTTTTTGAGGTGAAAGTTTAAATCTACTGACACAAAGAAAATTTTTTCTTTTTTTTGTCATTTTTATTGGATTCGAAATGATTTACATCTAATTAGATTGCATTATTACAATATCAAACGGAAAAACAACACAAAAATGCTATTTTTTTACAACAATACGCTGCCTATATACAAACCTATGTATTGCTTTTTTTTTATTTTTAGATGATCGCCTTTCGCTATCCACTTTTATTTTATATTCTTCTCTCTTCAAAATTTTATTTCAAATAAACATGAAAACAAAAAAGAATCGATATGTGGAAATAAAGCAGATTCAAGAATAAAATTTTGATAAAATAGGTAAAAACGTTTCAGTCGGTATAAACCGAACGAATAATACCCCTGCCTAATTTAAAAAGTCAAACAACCAAAAATAACGTAGTGTATACTGTAGAGAGTAGAAAACTAATAAAGGAAAAGAGACGAGCAAGGAAAATATACCAACACTCAAGGGCCCCTGATTTAACGAGACTAAACCAGTTTAGCAAGAAGCAAAATCTTAATAAAAACCACTAAAAACGAAATCATATCGACAAAGTTACGAAACTCAACAGTTTGCAAAGATAGCGACTCATTGTAGAAGTTAAGTAAAAATATGAACTGTCCTAAACTAGAAATACCCCCTTTCCAATCTCAAGAAGCTGGATTTTCCCTGACCAACAGAAAATAGACTGCTTCGGCAACTAAGAAAAAATTTTCGTGCGACTACCAAGACAAAACAGTCAAGAAAATATGTCATATTTAAATAATGAACCCACATGAGAGGTAATGCTTAATAAGATAAAAATGGGTGAATCGAAAAACATTATAAAAACTAATGTCTTTATATCTAACAAGTCCCAATACTCAATTTTTTTTACGAAATATTACGAATTTTTGGCTTCGTTGCTGGTTTTTTCTTTAAATGCCACTGATCGTGTCATATTTTTTATTATTTTTTTTTCTTTTTTTTAAGTAAAAAAGAGTTTAATATTTTCAAAAATCTCAGGATATTATACACATTTTTTAAAAAGCTTTCCATTTAAATTCTATTGCACGAAAAAGAAAGAAAGGTAGGAGAAAAGAAAAAATGAAAAAAAAATTCAAATTCTGGTTTCAAATGTTAATGAGGAAGGATGTATGATTTTTTATGCAAATTTTGTATTTCCCAATAAGGTAAGTTGAGTAGCGTCGGCTAACAAAAATGTTATTAAAAGTAATATAGGTTGACACATTTCAACAATTTGAATTATCTCATTTCGGTTATTTATGCGTTACTTATAAAATTTTTTCAAATAATTTCAGTTAGTTTTTAAGTTATTAAAAATAAATATGTATGTACCTACTTCCAATCAATTTTTTTTTTAATAATTATTTTAAAACTATTTCAAACATGTTATATTGAGTGCTTCAAAAATTTTGATGTGCTCTTTTTTCATATTTTATTAGCAGGTAAACAAGAGCAATCTATTTATAAAATGTCCCTGCATGTGTATGTACGATCTATCTTAATTATAAACGGAAAGAATATTACATAAAGAACAAAAATTTTAAAATACCTGTTATTTTACAGTCGGAATTTTTGAATCATTTGGTAAAATACCATTTTTTTCAAAAGTAAAAAAATATTCAAAACCGGTCATAAAAATATATGATTGTTTTTTCCAAACATTTTAAATATTTTTTTTTTAGGTAATTTTTTATTTAGGTAATTGATATAAATGATAGTCTTTTTTTGTAATCTAAGTGTGCGAACTGCGAAGCGATAGGATTTTTTAAATGCTTGCAAAAACTAAAAACAAAACAAATATTCGGAAAACAATAACAATAAAAAAAAATTGGATTTTTTAAAAAAATTTTATAGTGGAAAAAAAGCTGCGTATATATAATAATACATATGTGTGTATTGTTTTATTGAAGTACATACATAATGTGTGTAGAAAATTTTAAAATATTTTAACTGTATAATTTTATATGCGTGTATGAGAATATACATACATACTTAAAAAAAAACTTGTTTAAAGATGATTTGATTTTTCACGCAGTTTTCCGAAACGCATTGCCATCGATAAGCGAGGACCTAGTGTATATACATATTTAAAAAATTGACTAATACATATATTATCCGTGACTTCAATTATGCAAAGTAAATTTTACATGATTACATTCCAAAAAGTTTAGTGTACACCTTCCTAAATGGATACGTAAAATAAATATAAATTGGGTTTCAAAGAAATTAACACCCTTTTGTTATTCATGTCACATAAATCTTGCCTGAAATAACCAATTAAATAAACTAGTATGTATTTTAAGCAATAAAGTGCTAGTTATGAAGTTTTTTTCCTAATTTCCCCATAAAAATGCTATGTTTTTAATGATATAGTAACATTTATTACAAATTAACATTTGCACAGAACTTTAAATTGAAATTTTCAAACAAACGCCAAAGTAATGTATTAATATTGTAAAAATTGTATACCAAATTGTATCAAAAGCTTTAGCAGTTTTTTTCTACAATGTAAAGGTATTGAAAGCTCTGAGACGGTACTATAATTGTATTAATACCGTACTTGGACTTTTTATAAAGCATTATTGAAGCATTATTGAAGTCACTACATATAAAACGCATTTTGAAAAAGTGTACAATGTCAAGAGCTTTTACTAAACTTTTTGGAATTTGATACTTCGTAAAATTTACGTCGTAAGCGCATTATTGAAGTCACCGAAAGATTGAATTTTAACTTTTTCTAACAAAAAATTTGAAAAAAGTTATGGTAAATTCTTAAACGTCAAATTTTACAAAATTTGAGTTGTCTGAGTTTACGAATACTCTACTGCGTTTGTACTTTCAGTCAAAGTTTAAATTCTTAAACGTTTAAAAAAAAGCCAATTAAGCGTCAAAATTGTTATTTTTTTTTTACATGCAGACAGTCTGACGTAGTAACTCAGTAAATAAATTTGATGTATTGAGTGACTATCATTACGTTAAAAATAATGTAAAAAATATTTTTTTTGTTAATTTTTAAATCTAAAAATTTTTTTTTGTTTTGACGTTTACGGATGATCAAAATTCAAAGTCAATTATGGGTAAAAAGTTTACTACATTTCTGTCCGTAAAAGTTTTAAACGTCAGACAGTTTGCAGACTGAAAACAAAATTTTGAATTTAAAGAATTTGTGGTTGATCTTGTGGAAGATTTATGATGTTAAAAAGGGCCCTCTATGGATCCCATAAGAATAAAATGTAAATTCGTCAGCTGTGAACTGTCACTCTTTCTTAGGGTCTAGCACTATCATAATTACAAACTTAAATTCTAAATTTAAATCTAATAAAATTTTTACTAACTTTATTTTAAGCCGTGTATTCTAGATAAAAAATATAGCATTTTTTTATTCAGTGTATTATCATTTTTTTCTCTCAATTCTCTCAGATATGTTGCCTGACTTTGTGGTACAAAAAAATACTGAAAGAAACTCGAAAATTTATTTAATCAAAGTTATAGTTCAAATTTTGTATCGAAATTTGAATTTTTGATGTTTTTCAGAAAACTCCAAATTTCATTTTAATACAAAAATTTTTAGGTTTTAGTCAACTTTTCGTATAGAAAACTCTAAACGAAAAAAGGCAAAAATCGTCATTTTTCCAAAACCAAAAAAAATTACTCTCCAGAAATAAAGCATTCACAAAAAAAGCAGGATCCAGGCCTTGATTTTTTGTAATGTCAAGATTTTACTCGAAAAAAACATTATGACGGATTTTGGAAAAGGAATATGAATTTTAACTTCTAATTAAAAATTTGAAAACAGTTGTCTTTTAGCAAATTTATCATGTTAAAAAGGGCCCTCTGTAGCTTCCATAAAAATACGTGTGAACTCGTCGGCTGTGAGCTTTTTGTTTTAAGGGACATGTATATCTGTCAACCATGGCCAGCACTCAAGTAATTGAATTTGTGTGCCGGCCATAAATTTCAAATTATTTTTATAAATTTTGTTGCTCTCTAATGTAGTTGCTCTTTAATATATGTACATGCGTATGTATATTTGTGGTCGCAGTATAAATTTCTTATTAAAAGTGTGTAGTGAAGATTATAAAACTGCATTATTGTTATACCAAAAAAAACGATGTAATTTTTGAAAACTTGCCTTATATATTTCAGATGCTTTTTTTGGCACATCACTGTCTTCGTCATCTAAAAAAAACTATTTTTATTTTATTTAACAAATATTTTAAACCGTCTGACCTGAGTTATGTGCTGAGGAATTTGCGCTACTGCATTTTACACTACTTATTCCAAAACTTTCAACTTGAGTCACAGGTCGATCTTCTGGATATTTGTCCATACCACTTCCCTAAAGATGAAATTATTCAAAGTTTACATAAACTAGTGATGGGAACTATCGAATGTTCACTATCGAAATATCTATCTTATTTCTATCCAATATTTCTAATTTTTTATGCTCCCTTAATAACTTTTGGTTTTCTTTATGTGAAGTTGTGCGAAACAACACAATGAAATAATTAACTTGTAAACATCATGAAGGAATAATGGCTGCCAACTGAAATTGACAATATTTTCGGAAAGCAAATGTAAATAAAATTAACCCCTTTCTAAAAGCAACTTCATACTAACAGTTTTTTTTCTTATACCTACTTTTTCCACACTAATACGTTAGTATGATAAAATATTCGCGAGCGCTGTTCAAATATTACTCCGTATAGATGACAGTTTTAAGCGCAATTGAAGCTCATTTCATGTTCATATAAACATTACTTGACTTCAAGAAAGCTTCACTCAAGTCATTTAAAAAAAAATTTGCTTACTTAAGTATATGAAACATACATAACGGATGACATAAAAAATGTTTTTTACGCCTTGTCAGCTTTTGCATTTAAAAACTTTATAAACTTTTTAAAAGCTTTTAAAAATTTTCTTATCCCAGACAGACCTATTATCTACCACAAAGAAACTGTAATTCAATACAAATATTATTCGAGATATTCGATACTGAAATATATTCAATATTCGTTTATTCAATAGTCAAAGCTGTTCCATATTCGAACCTTCGATATTCAATTTATTTGATAGTACGCATCACTACCAAAAATAAACCATTCTAATACAGTGATAGCCGATCAATTCCTTTTTGATTTCATACGACTTTCGCGTATTCACCAATATTTTGGTAGTCATATCGAATGAAGTGATACTATCACTTCTATGTATTATTCTAGCAGTCGCAGATATGATAATTAAAAGTGGTGCATACCATTTTTAACGTGGAGGCAGATATCGAAATAATTGCGTGTGTTCTTTCTGTAAAACTTTTCATGCACTTATTTGATATTTGCATTTTCCATCACGCTTTTCTAGGTTGTAATTAAAGTATTTATATCTATCAAAGTATATCTATTAATAACAACAACATTTTTTTTTCATATTTTATTTTTCACTTCATAAAATTAGGTAAAAACATTCGAATGTTTGAAAATAATAGTTATAAATTTAAAATTTCATACTTTGTTATACAGTACATACATATGTATCTATTCAAGATAATTACACAATATGATGTAGTAATATGTATGTACCCATGTAGTAATGCTTTGAGATTTAATAGCTAAACGTCGTTTTTGGGCTTTTAAGCTAACATAGTAAAAACGCAGCTTGAATTTCGCGCTGATTTCACGTCAAGTACTCTTTCACTCTTTCACGAGGCATAGAAATTAAGCAATTTATAAAAAAAGCCTATTACCGATACGTGTGCAAGTGTGTATACTCGATATATTTGCCTTAAATTTTTAAAACAAAATTGAAAAATAAAAAATTCATAGTTTACATTACAATAAATGTAATGACAATTACTAATTACAATTTTTTTTTTAATATTATGTCATTTTGAAGTCATATAAATTATGTAAATTATTATTTACAGGTAGTATCTATTGCGCACTCTTTCCCTCTCCCAAAAATTCTTACGTGTAGTCTGTAGTGTATAAAAAAGAAAATAAGGAGGTATACTACTTAACTCTTTTAGACAAGGGATTTTTTTAATACAAATATTGGTGAGTGATTGCATTAATGTGATGGTAAACGGAGAGTCGAACTACTTATTAATAGATATACTTTGGTTGTAATGTATAAAAAAGTTGGAATAATCAAGGAAGTTAGCAATTACAATATTATTTAATAAATTTTATACAAAAAATTTTACTCAAACAATAAATTTAAATTTTAAATACAAAAAATTACTTAAAATTTAAATAATAAATTTTAATTTTTACTTAAATTAAAATTTCAAGTCTTTCAAGTACAAATTTGACGTATTCTAAAAAAAGCAGTATAGAAATCTATACTGTATAGAAAAAAGTAAAGCGGTTTAGAAAAAAACTTAGTTTTATTTTAAAATACAAAATTCCTTTAAAATACTTTCGGAAATTGTAAGGCGTTCAAAAATACATTATCATCGTTAACTATTGCTTTAAGACTTTCCTTGTTTTTGTTTATATGCAAAAAACTCTGTCGGTTGCTAACGAGCCTAAAAACATTTTTGTCGTCTTTACAAGCATAGCTGCCAGAAAGGAAAATTTGAGGTCACGTCACGTTATAGTTTTTTTTTATCACATCTGTGACGCGACTAACAGAATATGGGTGCATATTTTTTATTCATTCTTTCTACTTCCGTGTAAATTTTGATGTTTTTTTACTCGAGTGCTTTTTGTTGCTGAGATATAAAAAATTATGCAAAAAAAATGTGTTTTATTTTTAAACTTTCGAGTATTGTGAAATTTAAGATACTACATATATACATATACATATGTATAGAGTATTTTAACTTTCTGATGTATCCATAATTATTAAAAAAAAACCATACCATTTTTATATAAAGTAAAATCAAGTAAGTATGAATACAGAATTTTAATGAGGAAGAAATTGTTGGAGGGTTTGTAAGGGTTAGAGTTTATTAGTATAAGAGACATAAAAAAAATTTTAGATTAAGTTTTACAAAAAAACAAAAAAAAAAAGAAATAGCAAAAAGGTAAAAAAAAAGTTGTAATATACTCCTGTTATATTACTCATGCACTATATGTACATATAATTGTATAATTCTTTTAACACCGTTTAAATTCCTAGGAAATAAAGATATCAACACTAATCAATACCAAGATCAAAATAACTAGAGCTAAAAGTGACATCACGCAACTCGTCCCATTCTTACCATAAGCCGTACTCTGATAACAAATATTGGAAAGCTCTACGGACCCTTAGTTTTTCCAATTCTCTCCAAAAGACAATTGCTCCAACAAAAACGGTGAAAAGCCATTCCCCGAAACAAGTTGCAGAACAAAAATCACGTCAGTGATACGTGAGCCTGACATTCGTACTATTGAATGAACCTAATATATGATAAAAATATGATAAATAAAGATGCCCATTAATGTAGAGGTCAGAATTTATTTATCCACTTCATAGCGAAATTTAATTTTAAATTTGCGTTATTTATAATCATGTTAACGTAAGCCTTAAAGTCAAGCCTCTGGCCGAGCATGATCACAAAATCATTCAAATGTTTAATCCCCTTCAGAACCCTTTCATCCCACTGATAGGTATATTTAATAATAGACTGATTCTCGCTTTTACGGGCGAAACTAAATACATTGAAGCTCCTCAACGTTCAGTTCTAAACTATTACTGTGACACGACAAATTAAAACCGTCCAAGTCGTTCTTTAGCGAAAAACAATTATTCTCAGAAAAAGTCATCTAATTAAGTTTTCTGTCATATGCAAACGACTAAAGAATCCGATGCATCGTTTGTCGAAATATTGAAAAACAGTGGATTCAAATAGCTACGTTACGGAGCTTCAGAAGCAGCAAAAACAACTTCGCACAAACACGTTCGAAAAGACAGCTGACATTTCATATCTGACAAGAACGACCACACCCATCTTAAACTAAGGATACTAAACCCAATATCTCTTAATTTTAACTCCTTGTGGCCCTATAATTTTTAATCAAGCAACGATGTCACCTCTCTTGAACAACCACGACAAAAGATTTGTTCCGAATCCCGGAAAGTACAAACCAGTAGTCATTGAGAAATTATGACAATTTCATCAAAAAAGAAACTCTCATCAATCGAGAAGGCACTAGAAATATGACAAGCGAAAAGGTTAGAAATGACTTCAGAATCGTCCAAAGTTTTGTCTAAGAGTTAAAACAAGAGTTTCAAAGAATACGGTCATTAGACCTACGTTTATAATTTATAAAATCATTGAACCCTTTAGTTTTAACAAAACAATCTCTCTTGATGGTAACCAAACACCCATTGTATAATCTATTAGACAATAGCCTAAATTTGTTACATGCATCCACAAGCTTAGAATATTGGAAAAAGGAACAAGCTGAAAAAAAGGAAAAGTGGATGGCTGTCTGGTCTGCGACTGATCCCTGAGGGACGGCAGAAATTAGGCGTGCTGCCTTGCACGAGGTATTTATTCCCAAATGTTAAGAGAAGTAAAATCTGAAATTAAACTAAATCAATGGAATGAACAAAACAATTTTATACCCCAGGTGGTAACCCAGTAAATCTGAAAAATCCACACTTTTCGGAGGCCGATCTTACGGATTCTGGGTTAGACCACTTATTGCATCAAACTAGTACTACCGACCCCTTTAAAAGAACACCTCGTGTCATGCGGACACCACCATGTGGTAAAAGCAAAGAAAATATGTCCAAAGGCCACAAACAGAAAAATACCAATGTGGGTGGAGTTGATGAAATAAAAGATCAGAAAACTGATAACTGCCACTTTAATATAATAATACGTGAGCTAGAAGCGCTTTGTAAAGAATTAAAAAATGAAATTCATTATTTCAGAGAGGAAAGTAATAAACTAAAATTGAAATCAAGCAATGTAAATACAATAAAAGAAATAAATACGGAAAAAGTACGACAAACAAAGTGGAATACTGCACAGACGAGGGGGATCTGGCTCGGGACACCGATTGGATTCTCAAGAGAAAGAGCAAAAAGCGAAGAGCAGATATGTCACCTGAAATAAGTCCTGAGAGGTGAGCAAAATAGAAAAATCTGTGCAGATAAATGCACTACAAGAAAGATACATCACTACAAGAAAGATATATCACTACAACAAAGATATAGTTATATTAAGCAATGTGGAGGAATATCCAAAACTAAAGAAGATGCTAAAAGAAGCCAAAATAAACTTTAGGGTCGACATGATGCATAATAATCAACTTAAAATCAATGTTGGTGAAGAACAAGATTACAGAGAAATAACAAAACAAAAAAATGAATCTAAAGTAGAGTGGCATACCTACGAAAATAAAATGACAAAACCTATCAAGGCGATGGCTAGAGGCTTGCATCCTTCGTGCCAACCTGAAGATACTAAAAATGAGCTAAAAGAGAACAGTTTTAAAGTTATTGGAGTGATTAATAAAATTAGAAAGCAAAATAAAGAAAACAAGATCACTATGATCCGACTTCCTCTCTTCATGTTAATCTTTGAAAATTCGGAGGACATAAAATCTACAAAATTGATGTTCTTCAGCACATGAAGATTAAAATTGAGTCACTAAGAAGAAATAAGTGCAGAAGTGTCAGAGATATGGGCGTCTGGCTCAATTTGTCGAGTGTGCTGGTCTAGAAGATAGAAATAACCTTACAAAACAGAAATAAATAAAAATTATACGAAAAAAATACTCCTAAAACTCCGAAAACTTCAAAAACAACTACATTGAGTAAAAGAGTGCAGGAAATACAATATGCCCAAGTGGTGAGAGGTGAAGCATATAACCATACTAAAGAACGAAGAGATAAAAATATAATGTAAATGATGCAAAATATGATAAAAACTAACATTGAGAATGAACAGATTAGAAGATAAGCATGATAATGTTTATGTAATATTTACGCCAAAAAGAATAAAAAATAATGAACGAAGATAAAATAAGAATTGCGAAGTGGAACGCAAAATATTGATATATGTTTCGTAACAAAGATACATTTAAAACAGGAAGCAAATATAAAAATAAATGGTTACATGCATATAAAGCGGCGCATTCTAATAACGAATCAAAAGATGGTTGCGCTATTTTGATAAGGAATAATATAAAACATAATGAAATAAGTAAAGTAGAAAGAGACGATAGCCAGTTTGTTGCTGTACGAATAGAGTCTTATAAACAATATTTCGATGTTGGTGTACTTTACTGTCCTCCGGGACTGGTGACTATAATGCCAAACAAATTGATTGGGGTTCTAGATTGACCTCAACAAGAGGTAGAGCTAAGAAAAGCTATTAAAGAGATTAGTTGTTACTGCCAATCCACTGGTAGACCAACATATTGGCTAAGGGATAGAAATAAGATACTAGATCTGCTAGGCTTCTTTATTGTGGAAAAATCTCGCCAAATTTCATTAGCTTAGAAGATAACTATGATTTGGGTTCGGATCATTCTGCAGTTATATTAAACTTAGATGAGACAGTTACGAAGAAACAAAATAAGCCCATGTTGATTAATAAATCTACTGACTGGACTAGTTTCAAAGAAGAGATAGAGAATAAAATAAACTTAAGAATTAAAGTACGAACCCCAGATGATTTGGATTCTGAGGTAGAGAATTTTAATGAAATCATACAAACCGCTGCCTGGAATAATACAAAACAACGTGAGTATAAATTCGTGGCTATGACTTACCCAAGGGAAATACTGAATATGATAAGCAAAAAGAGAAGAGATGGCAAAACTCACGAGATCCGGCAGATAAAACTGCACTCAATCGACTCACTCAGAATCTAAATAGAAAAATAAGGAGGGCTGCAAAAAATATTACAAGGCCAATTTTACGTGTCCCCCTATTAGGGGAACGGGTGGAAAATGGACAATAGAAGTCAGAATAAGACTGAAATATTTGCGGATCATCTTGAAGAAATTTTTAGGCCAAATACACTCAAACATAAATACTGCAATGTGAAACGTGAGAACGGAAAACGTTATCGCTCCATTTACACAAAGAGAAATAGTGGAAGAAATAAAAAGTTTTAAAGTCAAGGAAAGCACCAGGTTATGATTTAATTACCTCTGAGATACTGAAGCAATTATCAAAAAAGGGAGTAACAATGTTGACTTTTTTAATGAATTTTGCATTAAGGTTAAAATATGTGCCTAATGTTTGGAAGGTGGCTGAAGTTATAATGATATCAAAACCTGGTAAACCTTTAAATTAGACCAAGTCTTATAGATCAATTTCTCTGCTACCAATTTTGTCGAAACTTTTTGAAAAGTTATTACTAAAAAGAATGGGACCTATAATTGAGGAGAGGTCATAAATTCCGAACCAACAATTTGGGTTTAGAGCAGGATATTCAACTACTGATCAAATTCATAGAATAACAAATATTATTGAACAAGCCCTAGAGGAAAAGCAAATTTTTGCAGCAATTTTTGTAGACGTGGCACAGGCTTTTGACAAGGTTTGGCACGAAGGATTGATATACAAGTTAGAAAAATATTACCAAAGCAATATGTAGATATTCTCTCTTCTTATTTAACCGACAGACTATTTAGAGTAAAACAGGAGGGGGACTATTCCACACTTAGAGAAATAACAGCAGGTATGCCTCAGGGCAGTATTTTGGGTCCAATACTATATCTACTCTTTATAAGAGATGTGCCTCAAATAGAAAACACAACTGTGGTGCATATGCTGACGATACTGCAATTATGGCAGTAGCATCAAATATTGACGACGCCACAAGAAAGTTGTAGCAGGCAAACAATAGTTTTGATGCTTGGACCAAGAAATGGAAAATAAAATTAAATGAAGCTAAATCTGCTCAAGTAAATTTTACAAATAAAATTCTTGTAAACACCTCACGTGTCATTTAAATGGCTTAAATGTTGCGCAGGAAAATGCGACGAAATATCTAGGAATGACATTGGATATTAAGCTAAAATGGAAAAAACATGTTAAGAAGAAAAAGGCAGAATTAGAATTAAAGTATAAAGAAATGTATTGGCTACTAGATCGCAAGTCAAGATTGCCGATACAGAATAAGATCCTGCTCTATAAACAAATTATTAAATCTGTTTTGAAATAACTAAAGATTCCATGTGTAGTTGACGAAATTAAAGAAAGGGCGGTGAGACAACGTAGAGACCTCTCAGCTCCTTGTTATCCGGTATTCTCCTAGAAGGCTAAAGAGGACTTTGCCTTCTAATTTAGCGCAAAACGCGCTTCACCAAATTGGGGAGCGTTAAATATCTTTCAATCTATATTAAAGAAAATCTGATGGTTGGTCTGAGAGGACTAGCATCAGGATACAAGAAGGAGGTTTTTGTGGTAAAGCACATAACTAACTGTAGGTTGCCAGGAAATGGCATGTTAGTAGCACTCATGCTGTCCTTCTTCCTTCGGTGAAAAAAAAAGTAAGATGTGCCGCAAGACGCCTATCGACAACAACTGGAGCACCCAAAAAAATAATCAAAAAGGCTAGCATAGAAAAACTGAACACAATCGTCAACATTGGCTTTAACCGGCAAGGCACTCTCAATATTAAACAAACTAACCAAGCCACGCCATACTCCAAAATCTGTTCGGAGAAAATCAAAACTATATCGTGCTCAACAACGCCATCAGCCGCAGCCATTCCGAGGGAAGAAAAAATATTCAAAGGCATTTGGAGCAGCACTGTTCTCCGCGTCGGAACTGAAGACAAGATTAGGCTGGAGATCTATTATATATCTCTCATTCAAATTCGAATCGATTCAAAAATCACATTCGCATAAAAAAAATCAAATTATGTAAAACTTTCGTATTCGAAAATACGCACCACTCTTTATTGAAATTTGTCAAGTAGTAGTTTCTTTTAGATTAAAGTGTCAAGTAGTAGTTTCTTTTAGATTTTTAGATTTTAATTCATTTAATTTCTGTGTTTTTAATTAATATTTACGTTAAAATTAATAGTGTTGACTTGTGCTTTGGTATAAGGGAAAAAGAATATGCAGAAGCGATCCAAAGAAACTTCACCGAGGAAAGGTACAGCAAATAAAATAAAAATAATAATTGCATGCACTGCTCCAAATATAAACAAAAATTTGTTTTTTTTTTGCCTTCATAAACAACTTCCACATAAATAAAGAACTACGTAGATACATATGTGCTTAATGAAATATCTGATGAACTCAGTACAGTACACAGATCCACGACGGTATCACCAATAATTAAATTTGGTGCCACTCTTAAATTCTTGACACAAGGTGTGAACATGTGGGATGGAAGAACCCACAATGTTATTGTGCATTACGGAAGTGTGTTCCGCTATAGAAAGAACTATATGCCCAAAACACATTATAATGAAAAAAAAGTTAATAATATTAATCAAAGTTGTGGTAAATTTAATGAAAAATATTTTTCAGCCGATGAACGCGTTCATTCGGACAATTAATGCAATTTATACCTAATAAACTGCATTCAATAAGTAATTAATAATTCGTAGGCCCAATGAACAAAACCATTAAAATAAAATCTAATTGTCCTAATGAATAGTTTCGAAAAGTAATTAATAACTTTTATTCCATTTATTAATTGTTTTGTTAAAATTATAACACATTTTATTAATTCATAATCACATTTTATTAATACTTGGAGTTAAATTAATCGATATAATTAATGTTTTAGTAGTATTAATTAAAAGTTTTCATTGCCCCAATGACATAGTTCATTAAGGAAACCGAGTGTTTGAATACAATTTCGATTTAAAAAACCCAAAACAAAATTTTCTTAAATAAAAATTTTTTTATTTTTCGGTTAAAGTTACATTTATTTATTATGTATGTAAATTCATGGTCATATTATTATACTATTGTTCAGTATTATACATCCATACATATGTACTTTGTGTTTATGTATAACATACATATTATGTAGTATATATCTACAGATATGTATCTATATATGTATATATATGTATAAATAGCTATATATATAGGTATAGATATGTGTACATATCTTCAGGTATGCAGCAGAAAAATTCAATATTATGCAACTTACTATTAACAAATGATATATTACATATATAAATTTAAAATCAAATTATATAACTAAATTATATAACTATTTATATATTTATATAAATTAAAAGTCATATCACTTGACCTATCAAAATGTCTAACAAGTTGTTGGGAAGATATTTAGTTGTCATCAATTTAATCTATGAAAGGTTGCACATTCAATGATTTTTTCAATGAAAGGGTATATTCAGAGTCTTTTATTATGTATTTTGCCCTTACTTTTGTTCCAGATTCGTTCAAGTTATAATATTCCTTTCAGTTATACGTCATATATAAATAAAGATGAAGAGACCACAGCATTTTTACTGTCTGAAAAAATAAGAAAAGAAAATTAATTAGTTATAAGTATGTATTAAAAATCATCATGAATATTAAATACAAGAATTAAAACATTTAAATATTATAATCTACCAAAATTTATATTTGATCACATACTCACTTGCATTTAAACAATTAGAAATTGTTTATAATATGTATTATTTTTACTTTCAATTCTCCAAGTATATTTCCTGTCATTAATAATTTTAACAGTTTCCCAAATACAGAGTTGAAGATATTTTATAATGAGCAGTTTTTCTTCGTCATTGTATCAAAATCTATTGAGATCTAAAAACATTATCATTCTCAGCATTCTTCTTTGTTCTTCCCAAATTTTGTCCTTTTATTATAAAACTGAATTAAATAGTCCTTTTCCGGTCTTAATGAAAATAATGGGGCGACCGCTGTAAATATTGCAAGTGACAATGTACTTTCTACTCCTGTCAAACGTGTCCACTTTTTTAAACTATGTTAGAATAAAAATTGAATGTCAATTGAATAATCTTTTATCACAAAAGACACAAAATTTTTGCTTGTTTCAATTTAAATCATAATAATTATTTAATTAAAATTTAAATGTACTTTCTACTCCTGTCACACGTGTCCACTCTTTTAAGCTATGTTAGAATGAAAATTGAATGTCAATTGAATAATCTTTTATCACAAAAGACACAAAATTTTTGCTTGTTTTAATTTAAATCATAATAAGTATTTAATTTAAATTAAAAAAAAAACATACATATTTATAAATCCTACCTATAAAATGATGTGCCAGCTCTAGATTTCTATGCTTCCAATGACAATTTCAGTTGTGTTATTTTTAGCATATCCCCGATTTCTTGACTGTGTCTTAAATTCTCTGAAGGCATATGTATATCTAAACATAAGGAGTTTTTAAAGTGCCATTAGTTGCTGAAATAAAATCCTTTTACTGACTGTGAAGGGATTCCCAATTTCTATTTCAAAATCCTTGAGCCAAATCAATTGAATTTGCCATAAAACTATATACCAAAATTTTGCATTCGTTATGTTACCACATTTTAATAAATATTCTAAATCATACTTATCACTTTAACCTTTTGTGAAACCGCAACAAGTGTAAGCACGCGCTTCTTTGCATTTTCTTGAATGACTAAATTCTTTTTCGAGAAAAGTTGTTATTGCTATGAGACACCAAAATGAAGTTCATTGAAAATTTTAAAACCTTCCCAGATTTTTTTGAGCGATTGAAATGTTTTTTGAGGGTTTGCTTCATTAAGAAATTTAGTCATATTTTGCTGTTTCCTTTTTATACGTCGTTTAAAACTCCCTTAAAAATCCTGGAAGCAATTATCTTCCATTCATCTGTAATTGTCAGAAGATCCTCGTTCATGATTTTTTTTAGACATCATCTAAGCTTGTTAGATAAACCACAATTGTTTTTTACATTTGAAGTAAATCATAAAACTTTTGAAAAACATTATTTGAAAATAAAAATTATTATAAAAAATAGTATCATAAATGAAAGTAATTTTACCAGCAAAAAAAAATATAACACAAATATGTATGTAAATTTTTTAGAAAGGCCAAAGAAGTTTTTTTGCGGGTTTTTTATTGAATATGTTATTTTTAACTTATTATCTCCCAAAATTAAACACAAATTTTAAATATATTTCTTAAATTTTAAACAAAATTTTATATTTTTATTTAAAAAAAAATTTAGATCACTTTTACGTTTCACTTACGTTTACCGCTGTTCAATGACATAGCAAAACTAAACCAAATTATTCAAGAAATGAGCTGTTTCTGCGCATCCCGTTGGAAATTAATCAAAATTTTCGTAATATTAATACAAAATGTTATTATTACAAACAAATTCATAAATATTATTAATATAAAATATTTTCACTTTTGCCGCTAGAAATTGATAAAACTTTTTATAATATTAATGAAAAGTTTTATTAATTAATAACTATGTTTATAAATATTATTAAAGTGATTCATGCTTTAATAAAAATTTTAATTAATACTAGGAATTTGATTCATATTTTTATATAAAAAACATCACCTGATTTCTTCAAAGAAATTCTACTTTTTAAGATTTACTTTAAGTTATGATATTTTTAAAAATATGAAAATTTTACAATTAACTTTTTCTCTTTTTACGAAAAAAACGGAAATTCCTTTTAGAATTTCTTTTCGACTATCAAGTCCTAGTAGAATTTTATACTGATTGAATTTTTCATTGCAAAATTAGAATTTCGCTTTCTACCTACGTACATGAATTTTTGTTTTAATTTTTTTTTTCTTGTCTGAAATTTACAATTTTCATAATTTGCAGTAATAAATAACATGAATGTTTATTAGTAAGAATTAGTGATTAGAATGCCAAAGTTCAAGCCAATATGGAATAAGTTTTTTAACTTTCAAACAATATATTAAATAAAGGCTTGTATTAAAAATTTGTTTCCCAATTTTTTTAAACCCATACATACATTTTTTTAAGCACAATAATATTCAAATAACTCTTATATTTGTATAATTAATGTAATAGTAATGATGAACAAAAAATTATCATTATGCTGATAAAAAAAAATTGTACTGAAATATTCAGAACATTTGATTAAAAAGCCAGAAACTTCGATACGTTTTCTAACTATATTTGGAACAAGGACTTTACCCAAGAGCAAAAAATTTTTTGTAATTTCTAGTACATGTACATACATATACATACATATATGTATATATATATGAAAATTAAAAAAATCACATGATGATTTTTTTGAAAATTTTGAAGTAGTATACCATTTATTTATTATTGCTGGAAAATGTATTAATCGTTTTATAAAATTATGAAATATTTCGTTAATATTATTAATCAGTTTTAAGTCGAAATTGAAGAATAAAAATAATAGTATTAATAAAAAAAATAATTAATAAGATGAAAAATGTTGGCAAAATATTTATTAAAGTGATTAATTGTCTGAATTAATTGTCTGTTTGTTAAATTTTTTTAAAACAAATATTTTTAACAAACAGTTTTTAATAATATAAATGAAAGATTAATTGGGCCAATGTACAAATTTTTAATTAATGCTGTTAATAAATTTTATTAACTTTTTTTTCTCATAAAGTTTAAAAATGGCCGAATCATGAAACGTCTTTATTTTAATGGAAAATTGAAAGACAGCATTATTGCTATAGTTGTATGTTTCTTTAAAAATTGTTTACTTAAATGCTTTTACTTCTTATTTGTTTAGGGTTTCCGATCACGCACATATCAAATTAAACCGCTTTGGTATTGGTTGACTTTAAATTAAATCGTTTTTGTATTGGCCGACTTTTCCCTAAATTCATATAAAATTTAATTATTTTGAATGTTCATATATTTTATTTTAATATTGTTACTTATTTTACTTTAACAAAAGAAATCAAAAAGCACTTACATTTTTAATTTTTAATGTGTTAACATATTTCACAATTTGAAATTTTGCTGTTGAACCTCTGACTGATTTTATATACAGAAGCTTCTAGGGCTGAAATGCATAGCTTGTGTGTTTCTTGATTTTAAAAAGGCGTTCGACTGTGTTGATCACGAAATGAATTACCAAATGAGTTAAAATAAATAAATAGTGCAGGAATATTTAAAGAAGAAATAAAAAACTTTATAATAAAAATTCACATAATAATAATAATTCAATTTTTTGTCATCTTTATTAAATGTTTTAAACTAAATTTGTCATACATAATGCCAAATGAAACTTAGAATCAAGTTTTTTAATTCTTACATACTATATCAATAATTCAATTTTATATATCAATAATTAAAAAAAAACGGAAATACCTTTATTTACATTTAAATTTCAATTAGATAAATTTCTATCAATTTTTTAAAGCATTGTACGTACGAATACATACATACATGTAGGATAGGATTATTATTCTGCCGCATCATGCTTAGGATTCTTAATTAAATTATTGATTATTAACTATTGTGAATATTTCTTAATAATTAACTATCGCGAATGTCTTAATTAATATGATGGTATGTACTTTCTTTTCGAAATTGTGCTCACTTTCGCAAATCTCCACTCACAATTTTCGAAAAGAGTTTTGAATAGTTTTTCTCTTCGTAAAAGTAATGATCTTCGTTAAAAAAGAAAATAATGAATCTTCTTGTAAGCGACCATCAAAGAAGACACAAAATTAAAGTTTAATTAAAATAAAAAAAGCACATGTTTAAAATAAATCATGTAAAAACACATGTTTAAACAAAATTAAATAAAGTTAAAATGTTTAAAATAAGACGGTAAAATCAAAATACGTAAATTAAATGTAAAATAAAATATTGCTATAATTATAAAAATAATGATTTAAATAAAATGTTTTAAATAAAAATTTGAAACCAATTTGAAATCCTACAAATTGGGGGCTCAATCAATTAAGCGATCCCAAAAACATTCACTGGTGTCTTCTATAAAAAAAAAAATTATTTGTTTTAAAATAATTTAAAAGATCCGTCAAGATCTAATAAAACTCATCGAGATCCATTAAGGTCCATCAAGATCCATCAAGGTCTAATAAGATTCATCAGGACCCCATTAACCAATCAGAAAGTTCAGAAATTAACGGTTTTGAACACGTGTAGTCCTGTTACTGGGAGGAATGAGGAAGCAGAAATCATCTTATTGCTGCAGAACACTTTTTTCAAAAGCATCATGAAGTTTAACTAAAACTAAAAAAAAAATTTTTTTTTGTTACATGTGTTAACTTATAAAATTAACCACCCTTCAACTTTTATAACGACATTGAAAATAGTTTTTTATATAAAAGATAATTTAATTTTTAATTTGCGTTGCGAATTTGCCAAAAGAATAAAGAAATTGTGTGTTTTACAGTGTCTTATGTCACACCAACAGGACTTGTTAACTGTAACCAAGTAAAGTTAAATTCGTATATTTTTTTTGAAAATTTTATTATAAACGCATATTATAAATTTTAATTCAACTTAATATTTCTCGACTTTTACAAAGAAAATCAGAAGAAAAATTTATAATTTTCTGTTACTTTTACATCGTTTTATTAATTCTTGAAAAATTTTTTCTTAACTTTACAATTTAAAATTAATAGAAAAGTAATTTTAATTTAACTAAGTTTCATATTTCTCAATTTTATTTTTTTGCATTAACGAAAAAAAAAAGAGAAGAATAATTTATATTTTTTGATTTAACTATTTTCATGTTATCTAATTGTATTATTTATTTGCATTCCTGAATATATGTATGTACATTTTTATTATGTATATTTTAATTTGTGGTAATACCAATTAAAATTAAGCCTGGTATATTCGAAGTTTTAAGAGAAAATTGTACATCTATTAATATGAGGGAGAAAATTTCATGCGGAAGTAAAGAATAAAACAGAGTACGTTTTTTTTTTGATATATTAATTTTTTTTACAAAGGTTTTGACTAAATTTAAATAAACTTAAAAAAAAAAAAATTAAATTTTGAATTTTTAAAAATATTTAAAAAAAAAAAAAAAAATTAAAATAAAAGATTACAAATTAGAAATTTTTTTTGGGTAAAATTGAATACATTAAATAATACCTTATACTACATATATTAATAATATATATTTTTATATAAATTTATTTCGAATATATTTTTATATAAATTTATGAAATTATTAAATTGTATCTGAGTGAAGATTGTCGAAAGAGATGCGTATAATTGTGCGAGGGAAAGTACAGTAAAACCAATTGTGTTTTTTTATACATTATAATTATTGTAATATATTAGTTATACACACACATCATATTATTTATAAACTACTCGAGAGAAAAAATTTTATTTAATTGAAAAAAAAATGGAGAAAAATTTTCGCTCAACTAAAAAAAATTAGGAGATCGATTTATTGTAGGTTTTATCGAATTCAATGACTTTGAGTAACTTTGTTTTTATTTTTTTGATTTATGTAGACAGTTTAAAATAAATGTTCGTCATATTGGGGTGAAATTTTCATGATATATTTAGATCGATTACAAGTGTTCCATTTACATTCTATCGCGATATAAATTTAGTTACGATATGATGTAATTTATTTTAGTGTCTCGCGTGATTTTAGGATTTTAGTATCTCGCCTGATATATTTTGTAGCACCCCTGTTTGCTACTTTTATCCAATTGTGTAGCATGCAATTATGTCATCAGTGAGTGTTGAATTTGGTTATAACATTTGAGAGTAATGAATTTTTTACATTGTCATATTATTTGAGAGTATTGTATTGGATACAGTAACGTCATGATATAACGGAAATACAGTGAGGTCGTGTTAAAGTCAAATTAATAAGTGAAAACAAAAATAAATTTACAATTCAATGAAGATAAAATGATAAATTTGCAATTCAATTTATATTTTTAAATATTTGAATATAAGTTTACTTTGTTTTTCTATTAAATTAAAATAAAATACATCTAGATTAAAAATTTTTTTTATTTTGTTTTTGTTTTCTATTGCGAATATTTACGACATTTTTCTATTATATAGATAAGGTTCCACTATAAAGATTAAATCGTCTTATTTGGGAACTACACCATAAATTTTCTTGCCTCAACATTGTTGAACATTGTTTAATATTGTTGAATTATTTTTGATATAATCCTAAAATTTTTATTTTGGTCCAGTTTGGTACTACATAATTTTTTATTTTGTGATAAATGTAATATAATTTTTTTGCTACATCTTTCCCAGTTGCCTGGATTTCAGAAACTTGAAAATTTTATTAGGGTTCAATTTCTATTGGTTTCTCGTGAGAATTGAAATTATATTTTCTGTCAAATTTTGACTCTTGGGATCGCTTAGTCTTTCGTTTTGTTTCAGTTAATGTGAGATTTATTGGAAATTGAAGTAGGGTGAAAACTTGTTTGGAGTAGTGTCGTATTCCTATTGTTTTCATAGAACTTTCCAATTTGAAATTAGTTTCGGCATTTCCGGACTACTTTGGTTTTATTCAACGGCCGATAACCCATTATTTACCGTATTTATAAGGCATATTCTTTTCACTATGGATGCTGCAACAATTAATTTAATGAAGGAGTTGGGTTTACAGGTGGAAGGAAAGTTGACTTAAAAGCAAGACTTTTCCAATATTTTGGTATCACACGAGAACACCGATGACGCTAATGAAACGGATAGTGAAAATAATGATGAAAATTTAACTCCAAGAATGATCTGTAGCTTGAATAGACAGTCAAACTTTACCCTCAGTGATTTTGAAGACAGCTTATCACAATTCAACGGCACTGATTTGCCAGACGTAAAACATTGGACTGCTGAAATAGATTAAAATGCTTTAATCGCTGG